AGTCTGCACCAAAGAGAGGACTAGACACGTCATACTAGTTACTAGTGTTCAATCAAACAATATCCTCTATTGTAAACAGAAATTATATTCAGATCATCACAATATGTGAGTGTGATCTGCTTGATACTGCAAGTGGTAATCAAGAAACCATGAATAGATGTGCAAAAACATATATACTACTGATTGATTGCGATGAGTAGTTGCTGCCAGTGTTTGGTTTGAACTGATTCCTCTTCTTCTTCTCTTCTCTGAGCTGAGTACACTGCTAGTAGTGGTGACCTTGGTCGCGAACGGGCGAAATAGTCGTCCGGTGTTTGGACCACCTCAATCTAACTGGCTAGCTAGATGGGAAGCACTAGTGGTTGGTGTGGAGTAGTGGTATGGAACTACTCATCTCAATTAAATCAGTAGTTTTTAGTTGCATGCCACAGTTACATCTAATCGATTTTCTGAGAAAAAAAGGAAGAGATTTTATCGAATAAGTCTACGAATTTGACCACGGATTGATTTCAGTTAGAGAACCATTGAAAACCAACAGGGAGTAATGGACAGCCAGCTGTTTCATCCTAGTTTGGGAATCATCGTCAGTACGCACCCACTGGGATTCGAACCCAGGACCTTCCGGTTTCAAGGCAAGCGAGCTCATATACCATTCAGCCACTGGGACCCGATTCAGTGACCAGTCCAAGAATTATAACTTCTCACTAGAACTCCAAGAAACTCCGTCCTGTAATAAGTCACTAGCGAGCATCAGATTAATTTTCAAGATATTCGCTAGTAACTTGCCACAGGACGATGTGTCCTGGAGTTCTTATCAGAAGTCGTGACCGGTGAGGTCCAACCAATCAAGTGTGAGGATGGATTTCTCACTGATGACATTGGTTGGTGTTCGCCTCTAAATATGTCACGAATTGGTAGAAGTTATAATGCATGGATTGGCCATTGAATCGGGTTCCAGTGGCTGAATGGTAAACGAGTTCGCTGGCCTTGTAACCCTGGTGATGGGAGTGTACTGAAGACGATTCACAAACTAGGACGAAACAGCTGTGCAGTACTCCCTGTTGGTTTTCAATGGTTCTCTAACTGATATCAGTCCGTAGTCAAACTCGTAAAAACAATTTTAATCCTTACTAAGCAGCTCTTAAAAGTCGAATAAGTCTGGTTATATTTATCTATTTATTTATTTGTTTTGATGACCGTTACATGTCCACTTATTGTCTGTGTATTCCAATAACACGGTCAAAATGGCTTTCAAGAGATGATTGTGTTGTTGTCTTTGTTTATCTGAGCGTTAGTCAGCCTATAACTTTTATTTTAGTTTCTATCCTTATAACAGTTTTCTATTCCTCTTTCTACTACCCCTTTCGCTTACTCTTCTTCATATTTCGAGACACCCGTTACTTTTTGCTAACCAAGTCAATCGCATATGATTTATCCGTGTTATATTATTCAGACTGAGAACAACCTTGACCCCTAGCGAAACAATCAATTCTTTCTTATTTTGTCTGGATAAATGCTTCCTTTTAAATTTGTTTATTTATTTATTTATTCAGATTTTGATGTATGAGGTGAGGTGCTCTATCGCTTGTCGATGTTTTTTCTAACGTTTAGTAGTGATGACCACACCCAGCAGGAATATCGAAGATTTCCTTAATGGGGATCGCTGAAGTTGAGCCCCCACCCCCGCAGCCTCAGTTTGTCTTTTTATCTCTGGATCGTGTGTTATTTTCCGAATCTCTGCTGATTATCGTGTTTATTTAGATCAAGAGCTGTTGCTATTGTTGTCGTCGTCATTGTAGGGATTTGGACATATTTCAATGTTTCGTCCTACTTTGGGACTCCTAAGCAATCTGCACCCACAAACCTGCCAGCGATAGAACTGAGGAGTTTCACGTTATGAGTCTTAGTTGCTTTGATTGAACACTAAAAAGTATCATACAAATACGCCTTGCAGACGACTGGTGGTGAGTGCCAATAAGGATGAAACTCAGATCCGAGAATTCCTGTCTATTTCTCCCAACCATCTAATAGCAGTCATTCTCAGTGCACCGTGATTTCTTGAGCCATCAAGCATTATTATCACTGTTATTATTGTTTCCTTTAGTTCCTAGAGGAACATAGAGCTTCAGCCGCATGTCTCCATTGCTTTCGGTTCTCCGCCAACGTTTTTCATCTGGCTCCATGTCTTCACACATGCTTTCATCTCCTCTTCACATGACCACCTCCTCCATGTCACCGTTGCACTGATGACCAACTCTCCGCTTCCCATTCCGGTTCCTCTCGAGAGCCTGTCTTGTAATGTCACTTGATGGTTTGTTTTCTCAGAGTATGTCCACCAATCCACCTCCATTTCTTGCTGCATATTTCTTGCACAGTCGGTTCCTGCTGGGTTGGTTCGCTCATTGCCAGAGATCCCTGTTGAGACATCTAGCATGGTATGACCATATTGTAAACTTGACTGGTAGAATTCAGTCTGCACCAACACACCATGGATTAGACCTGCATGACAGCAGTTACTAGTGTCCAATCAAAGTATCTTAATACAGTCCTACAAGAGGTCAATCTCGAGTCTGAATAGCTGCTCAGTGGTAATATCTTTGACAGCATCACTGAGAGTGACACAGGTTCGTATCTTAGAAGAGACACAGGCTCTTTCAAGATTGCAGATACGCCTTGCTGACAGACTGATAGTGAGTGAGTGAGTGCCGACAAGCACAAAACTTGGACCACGTTGTCCTTCCTGTAGATTGCACTACTCACACACAACTTTCTTGCTTCATTTATATACATGAGTAGGAATTGATGATTAGACATTTGAATAAAATCAATAATATAAGATGAAGTACATTCAGAAATAATAATATGAGTGTTATCAATAAAATAAAATGCAAGAGGATGGGAAATAAGATCTTTCTCTAGTTAAATAAATAAATAAATAACTTATTAGAATGTTAGAATGTGGATTGAACTGAATACATTTTAAGATTGTTTATTATCCTCCTCTGATTTGACTGATGGTAATAATATCTTCCATACATATCTCTGGTATTTGCATTGAGTCACTTCTATTGCGCATATGTGTTGGGTGTAGACTCGATGAACCAGGATTCAGTATGAACCCACGAAGATGAGTAATTTAGAAAGAGGAACTCAGCACCTCATTGTACTGCATGCATTAACACACAATAGGATGGGTGGGACAGAGTCAAAATTCTAAAAAGTAATATAGGTAAGTGAGTGGAGAGAGAGATTGATTACTGAATCTTGCCTGGTTCATCGAATCATCTACACCTAACACATGCAACAGAAATGACTCAACACAAATACCAGAGATATGTATGGAAGACATTATCACCACCAGTCAGTCAAATCAGAGGAGGATAATAAATAATCTTAAAATTCTATTTCAATTCAATTCACATTGTAACATTCTAACCAGTTATTTATTTCACGAAAAATACCCATTTATTCATAAGTAAAAACACAGTTTTTGTTCAGCAATTGTTTTAGTTATTTATTTATTTAACTAGAGAAAGATCTTATTTCCCATCTGATTGTATTTCATTCATAACACTAATATTAGTATTATTTCCGAATGTACTTTCTCATCTTATATTATTGATTTTATTCATCAAATGTCTAATCATCAGCTTTTACTCATGTATATAAATGAAGCAAGAAATTTGTGTGAGTGAGTAATGTCATGATATTATTATGAGCAGTAGTAATAATTTGTGCTCGAAACGTTGCCATCAGTAAATATCAAAACAAGGGATTCAGCGAAGAGACTTACGCCAACAACGAATTTATTATCAAACGGTACAATCGTGCACATATGGTTTTTAAGAAGTTATATCCGGTAAGGGAATTGAATCATAGGTGTGAATGCATAAAATAATAACAATAATAATATGAAATGCAATTAAAACTAAAATGTTTGTGATTATAATCATAGTTAAATGTCAAGTGGCAAAACAATTAATGTTATAGGATGGATAGAACTTGAAAAAGGGTGTGCAATTATAAGATTAGTAGACAAATCGAATAAAATACAAACGTCCCGTTTTATTGCGTGAAATTTGATAATAGAATTTCATGTTGCAAGACAGAATTGATTTAGAATGACAAGTGGAACGAGTGAAATAATACTGGGGACAGTTCAACGTAAGAATAGTAATAGTGTGGTGAGAGATGGTTGCTAGCCAAATTGGTTGACAGTAATTGAGGTCAATGTTAGTCATGTGAAAACAAGGTCAAGATGGACAGGCGGATACAGTTAACATATAGATGAACTGACACAGCCACATAGAGATGCAAGGTTAACTTTGTGTGAGAAACAACCAATCAACAGACTGTATTTTCTACTAACATTAACCGACAATAATGTACATCAAAATCTATAAATATGTGTTGATCTTCCGTAATAAACGTTCTGTTGCCTGGCCCTTGTCTTCTGTTGTTACAATAGTAACAATTGATATAATAAAGGAAGAGTATACAAATTGAATAGAAAAAATGAAAAAAAAAATTGTGCAGCCAAAATATGATTAGGGGTTACCATACTTTAGCATATAGGAATTAAGACTATGAAAGATGGAGTTGAACAAACTTTTTTGTGCACACAGATCTGGCTATTCTGTTTCGATAGCCAAAGACGGCTTCAGCAATACAGATGAGTCGGTGAGTTTTAATTGCATTTCATACTACTATTATTATTATTATTATTTTATGCATTCACACCTATGATTCAATTCCCTTACCGGACATAACTTCTTAAAAACCAAATATATACGATTGCACAGCTTTCGTTGAATCACTTGTTTTGATCACTAAATATATACTGTGTAACACTACACTGGGTGAGACTTTATCAAAATGAATTTTATCCATAATGGAGTTATACTCATTGCCCACAATGCCCAAGTTTTATCCTTATATCAATAATTGACCTTCTAACTTACAATTACTGTTTTTCCTCATATTTTTTCGTATACTTTCAGTTTCATAGTCATTCATTAAATATTCACGGTCAATCGGATAGTAATAACAATAATACTAATCATATTACAATCAATAAAGATTCTATTACATCAAAATCAAATTGGGCTCGTGGTTTATTCGAACGGCTGAGAGCTGCTTCGCTGACAACATCAACTATTGATACAAAGCTATTGCATTCACCATATGCTACTGTTGGTCATAATGATTCTACACAACGATATAAAGAATATTATGCTTATCCTCATCTTCATCCTCATCAAAATGCTGTACATTTAACACCTGATTATATTGATCCAAAACGTTTACCTAAAGCTCATGGTCCATTAAGTAATTGTTTGGAATTCTCTAAAAAACCATTACAAAAATCAAATAATAATAATCACTTACAATTACATTCAAATACTAAACCGATTCCTGTCTCGTCAACACATATTGATTTTACGAATACAATGAATCTTTCAACCTCATCGTCATCCTCGTCGAATACACGGAGGAGAAGAATTCGATGGGTAAGTTTTCCCCTTTGATGTTTCATTTTATTTTTTTAAAAAAGACTTTCTAATTATCGATTAATTATTTATTAAAATACAAAATACAGTTAAGCAAAGAATATCCTTTTCGATAATTTCCTCCTGCACGAAAGAAAGGACTAGACACGTCACACTCGTTACTAGTGTCCAATCAAAATACCCACTACAGTCCCACAGAAGGTCAATCGCGAGCCCGAATAGCTGGTGCAGTGGTAACGACTCTGACTGCGGGTGGCACTGGGTGATGTGGGTTCGAATCTCAGAAGGGACATGAGTTCCTTCAAGGCAGTTGCAGATACGGCTTGCTGACTGACTGGTGAGTGCCAACTAGCACGAAACCTAGGTCCTGGCAAGGCTTCCTGTGGCCGATTGCCTCCAACTATCTAATATCATCAAATCAATGTGCACCGTGATGACGAGCTACCTAGAATGATGGCCACACTGAAAGCTTGACTGATAGAATTCAGTCTGCACCAAAGAAAGGAAAAGACACGTCACACTAGTTACTAGCGTCCAACCAAAAATTTCCTCCTCTTCTGGCTCTACAATTACATATATATATATATATATATATGTTTATATACATAAAATATTCTAGAACGGTAGTCAATAACAATATTAGTGTTTTCTAAATAATATCGATTTGTAAAGTAAAATCTCAATGGAATTACAGTTCATTAAGGATGCTTAAATTACAATAATAATAAAGATATAGTAGCAAATAGAATATCAACTAAAATTAAGAAAATTTCTATAAAAATTGAGGATCATTCAAACCTAGATGGCCAGGGTGGTAAGGACAATGTCTGAACCAACATCTTCTTTTGGACGCAAAAATTAGGCTTCTCAATGTGGATCCCAACGGCCTCAGCAATATATAGTAAGCGAACTCTTAAGGCAAAATTAAGATTTGTTGGTATACGGTAAATGACTTTGAAAGCTGCTTCGTTGACACCAACCTTGTGTTCTGTATCCACAAGATGAGAAAGAATGGCGCTAGGAATCGATTTTGTTTGTCCTTTGCTTAACCAGGCAGGGTGATATTCGTAAATTCGACGATAAACACGCCTAATTGTACGGCCTATGTAACTGGCTGACTCCACAGGAGCAGTTAAATTGGTAGATATTATTTAAAAAACACTAATATTTTTATTGACTACTAATCTAGAGTATTCGATGTGTATAAACATATATATATATATAACTGTAAGCGTCGGTGGCATAGCAGTTAGGATGCTCGCCGACCATGCACATGGTTCAGGGTTCGATCTACGGCCGAAGCACTCCTTTATCTCGCTAAGCCAGAAATAATGCTGATGAAAAGGAAAGGTTGGAAATGAGGCTAGCAACACCATCCTGTAAAAATAAACACTGCTACAGAAACTTCAAGCCACAAGCTTGAAGCCCTATGTTCCACTGGGAACGTGAAGGATAAATAATAATAATAATAAATATATAACTGTAGAGCCAGAAGGGGAATTTATCGAAAAGGAAATTCTTCGCTCAATTATTTTGTCTTTTATAGATGTCTGAATGAACTAGACCACTGACACCCACTGCACAAAAAGTGGTTCTTGTGGCCAAAGTAGTGTAGTTTGTGACACTTAGACGTTCACATCGATAGGTACTGGGTTCGAGTCTCAGTGGGGACACCATCACTTAGTGAATATTACAGGTACACGGAGGTGACGAACCCCAAATAGGAAGAAGTGCATATCTTGATGGACTCCACTTCTAGTTACCATTCCCTAGACTGTTTCAAGTTAATCGTCAGACATCATCATAGCGTTCGCACTGCAAGCCAAAAACATTTCGATATAATCAAGCAACGAGAGGAAGTTCAAAATTGAATTCATCTTCAATTCAAAAGCAACAAGACAAATCATTATTACAAAAAGAAAAAATAAACACATGACTGTACTAATACTCACCCCAACCAATTGTACTATAACATGAGAATCGGAATCTTCTTACAATAAATGTTAAAAATAATATATTCAATAGATGAACGCCTTCAATAAGCATCCAACTATAAACAGCAATCATTCCAAAGGCTAAAATACATACAGTACACATGGAAGAGGCCGTTGGCTAGTTAAGAATGTAATACTTAGGAATGTGTCGACTGTGTGTGTGTATGCCGAACCTGGACCACGTGCTGCGATTGAATCTTGTTAAGCGTGTTTACAGTCCTGAGACCAAGAATGTAGAAGTCATTGTCATCACTTCCCACTTTAAGTTGATTTCAGTTTGTCGAGCGCTATTGGCGATAGACCCTTGACCTCTGGCTTACTTTCTGCCTATTACTGAAACCGTGAAGTAATGAGTCAATATGATAATTACAGTTTTTCTCCAAGGTGTTGTCTTCAAGGCAAATAATTCAATGGTGACGTTATCACTGGTTACAGTACTGAAAGACGAAGATTAGGATTCCTAGATGGCTGTGGTGACACTTGTGTTTTGCCATTACGTACCAACCAGCAAGAAATAAACTTGGTTTCACAGATAGACATGTTCAGTGCTCCTAACCAGTTAACATATTATAAAGCGTACTATACTAATTATGTCGCACCACATAATCCTACCATCATGGTTCTTTTCTACCTCCTTTTTTATGTCAGTCATTAGGACTAGTAGTATAACTCTGGCAATATTAAATTATCATTCTCTTGGGTTCCGAGTGGGACATAGGGCATCAACAACACATCTCTACTTTGTTCTGTCTTTTGCTGTTCTCTTCAGCTGTGCCCACGATTGCCCATAATCTTTCACCTCCTCTTCGAACTCACACGATCACCTCCATGTCACCTACTCGTTGCTCCCCGTTGGGATCCCACTTGAGCGATAGCCAGCTGTTGGCGCAATGTCATTCGACGACCTCTTCAATTTATGACTGATTCATCTCCGTTTTCTCCTACATATTTGTTGAACACCCGGCTGTTGATTGGTTTTTTCCATTGAAGAGTTTCTTGTTGCTAATTCTTTCTGTCTGGCTAGCCATTTGATCTTCAGTATTGGGCCAGTGAAGTGGGGAACTGTTGATAAAAGTCTGCAACAGGGTGTTGGAAATCGTGACGGAAAAGCAGTGCAAGTTTCTGACCGGAATGGAAACAGTGACTGACTAACTTCACATTTGTGTTGAAAGTTCGGATCTTTTTATTTATGCTGGCTGAGTGAATGAGTGAGTGGAGAAGATTTCCAAACTGGTTTCAGGTTGATGAAGGTGTATCTTGCTTGACTACCCGATTCTGGCTGGCTTGCTTCGACATCTTCATCCGTGCTGTCCGACTGTCTGTTTTTGAAACTGTGCTTCATGGTGAAGGAAGTGACCTCTGTCAAGTCTCTCCGGTTGATGGTGATTGGTGCTGGTTGTTGTTGCTATTGCTGTTGGTGGTAGTTGGTTATCTTCATCGCCTCTGTCTTCATCTTCTCTATGTTCATCTGGAGTCCTGTCTCGCCTCTTCAGCCAGTTTGTTGATTTTCGCCTGCCTGCCTGTAAGTCTTCGAGTTCGTCCTCACAGTCTGACGCGTAATCCAGTCTACTATAAATAAGGAAAATACACCCGATTAATTAATTTCCACCTTATTTCTTATCATACGCCTATTTTATTCACGGTCTTTTGTTTTTCTTTTTGTCTGCATTTTTACAGTTTAGCCATTCAACATCTTGTGACCCTGGACCCGGAGATCCGTTGTTAAGTAAGCATGCATAACTTGATTTTTCTTCATTGCATTTCGATAGTATTATTCCATATCGAATATGTTTATCTCATCTCAATCTTTGACAATCTTTGTGTTTGAGTGTGTGCGTGTGTGCAGTAGACATTCACTTATTTAGAGAAGAAACAACAGATTGAGCGAAGAAATATACACTCCATTTCAATTAGTTCCACATCATTAGGTGGCTGGCTGGCTCTACACTAATATATATAGTCGTCTTCTACATCAAAATATTTTTTACCAATCAAGTAGTTATTTTAGTTAATCAGTTTTAGGTATAGGGTAATATACTGGACAATATACTCACTCACTTCCTGAGTTTCGCGACTCTACAATACAAACGTAATTTGGTTAGATGTCTGGTTCATCGGGCTAGAGGTATCTGTTCAAATGCGACACTGAACGAAGACCTCAGTAATATTTGTGACCTACTTAGTAAAAAACGAATATCCGACTAAATTCGTCAACAAATACATGAACTAGGCAAGTAAAAAGTTGAAGGTGCCGACTGTTCCCAAAAAAACCCAGTCTTCTTAAGATTACAATCCACAGGTGTTGTTAGTATTGAGATCTTATCACAACGTCTGAGAAGTGCCTTCAAAAGGACTTTCTATGCAGCTAAGCTATGCATAGTTCAAGAAAAAAGGCAGACCACCGTGTTTCGTCTCTTCCATGTGTATTTACTAGTTTAACTGCCCGTGTGCAGCTAGTTACATTGGACGTACGATCAGGCAAGTTCATCGTCGAATTTCTGAATACCTCCCATCTTGGTTTGGCAAAGGTCCGAATAAAGCTGCCATGCGCAGCGCAATACTAATTCATCTCGTCGATACTGACTGAACACCAAGTCGACTCACTCTAACAAAACTTTTAGAGTTATTTATCTATCGTATATCACCCAACCTCTCGCTGTATGATCTACGAGTACGACTTCTACACAGAGCACGGACAATCGGAATTCATCTGAACAAGCCAAATCTGTGTGTGAGTTCAAAAGAAATTTGTACAGCCGCTATCTTTATCATGGCCGAAAACATGATATGTATTTAGTTTTTAAAAACAATTTCTTCCCCTCCCCTTGTAACCATCTTTTGACCTTTTTTATTTTATTATGTTTTAAATTCTTGCCTATTCTATTAACTTGTTTGTATTTTATGTAATTCTTCTGAGTCATCCTATTCTTCTAAGTGGTCATCATCGCTATTTTACAAATCTGTTGATTATGTAATAACTTGTTGCTGACCCACCGCCTAAGAATCAACTTATCTTGAATTCCGTAGTTAATCAGTTTTCACCCCTCCTTCCTTCAAAACTTAGATATCTCGTTACTAAAATCTATTAGTTAATTGATGTTTTGATGACCTTTAACCTTTTAATTTCACCCCACCCCCTTCCTATACTTAAAACTGATTAATTAAAATTGCCACTTGTTCGGTGAAAAAAATTTGATGTAAAAAACGAATATAAATTACTGTAGAGCCAGGCGATGATGAGGTACTAATTGAAAAGGAGTGTTTATTTCTTCGCCGAATTGGATGTTTCTTCTCCAATTGTGCGTCGGTAATTCAGCTGTTAGAACACTCGCCGACCATGCATATTGTCCGGGGTTCAATCCCTAGCCGACTCACACCTGATATCAATGGTCAGCCTACTGAATTTAGGCTACCGATATAATATTGCTGAAAATGCCATACTTGTACCAGAAAATCTATTTGGAATCAAGCTATAATAAAATTTAAGAAAAATAAATAATAAATGGGAATTCGGAAGTCCACTTATATTAAGCTTACACCTGACTGACACTTTCCACTATGGTTTAAAAGTCATTTATGTATTTCGCTGTATACCCTCCTCCTCACACGTACGTAAATCATGACCTCTATGTTTGTTGTTGTTGTAGTAAAGTTCTTCCCATCATTCCGACCGGTTGACAGATGACTTGATTTCTGAGTATTTTGGTTTCATTATTCAAAACGAAATTTTAAAAGGTCAGTATGATAACTGGACCAACGAATTTAAAAGTTTTCAGGTGTGTTAGATTTGGAGGGATCTGAATAACTTCAAGGTCAGTCATTGTTTGATATCAGCTAGAAGGGGAACAAGTGAAAATCAGGGAGTAATGAACAGCTGTTTCGTCCTAGTCTGGGCACTTCAACAGTGTGCGCACACATGGCTCCACCCACCCGCAGGGCCTTTCAAGGTTAACAGGCGAGCTTATTTGACCATTCAATCAGTCGTTGAGATGGAATTCATTGTAACTCATGAATCAGCTTTATATGTAGTGCTACCCACCGCTACTAGCCAGTGTCTTCGCTGACTATCTGTCCTCACACCTAATATCGTGGACTCCACTGGTGGTGGTGGTCACGAATTCTCAGTAGAACGTCAGACAACGTTTTCCTGTAGTCAGGAGAACCAACACAGGAGATTTAGAAACACAAGTATATAGAAAATCAACGCACACAGATCAAATACTCAACTATACTAGCAATAATCCAATTACTCACAAACGAAACTGTGTGCAGACATTGTTTAAAACAGTTCAAACACATTGTAGCACTTCAGAATTGAAAAGAATGGAAGAAAAATACCTACAAACGGTCTTCAGAAAGAATGGTTATCCACAAAATTTCATCAAAAAGTGTTTAAAGTCGAATTTAAAACACCAACAAGAAACCATCATCAAAGACCACAAGAAAATTCATCCTACCATACATGAGAAATATCTCTGAAATAACAGCTAGAATACTGAAACCGTTTGATATTAGATATAGCACACAAACCAGTAAAATCGCTTAATTCGATATTATGCAAACCGAAAGATACAACAGGAAAAGGGGATAAAATTAATACCATTTACAAAATAAATTGTATGAAGTGCAACAAGCATTACATCGACTAAAGTGGGTGTCCCCTTCGAATCAGAATCCAATAACACAAATCAGCCGTGAAAAGATACGATATATTCTTTTTAGTATCAATGCATATAGACAATTATGGACATCAATTTGATTGGGACAATGTCGAAATCTTAGACAGAGGAAACACCAAAAGTGCAGTCAGGGAATTCCTAGAAGCCTGGTACTCAAACGAATATGCAATTAACAAACACGTTAATATAGACGAAATCTACCAACTAATAAAAAGTAAATCAGGTGACCAGAAAGTTCAAAATCCAAGTCAATAGAAAATGGTCAATACATATGTAAAGATGGTTACCGGGAGACGCAATTCTATCACTCATGAAGAAATTTAAATCATTTCACTTTATGCTAAAAATTGCGCTGAAAGGGGATGTTGTCCAGCAGGGGGACGACGAAAGCTCCGCAACTAAACCAACCAGCTCAGAGAACACTATTAATTGCAAGTAAAAGAATAATTTAAAAACTGTTTTGAAATAAGCGCTGATTTACCATGTACCATCATATGACTTTCATACATACAACAACATTTCTACATTTTGTTTATTTTTTTTTCGTTTGAAATGTGTTGATTACTTCGCCTTTGTTGTGATGTGATGTATGTCAGATAGATGTATAGTCATCATAAGGGTGACCTTTGAAAACACTGTAAATTGTCTTTTTATAGACAAGTTGTTGTTGCTGTCTCTTTTTAAAGATTGTTTTGATTAGTAATCGCGAAATATACCCATTAATTCCCAAGGGAAAATACAGTTTGTTTTGTTCAGCAAAAAAATATATTTCTTTTCGCTGACTTCATTTTCAAGCAACTGTACAGTCGTATTTATATTATGGAAAAAGAAGGCATTCAGTGTTACTAGAAATTGCTCAGTCAATATTGCATATATGACAAACCGGTGGCCGGGCTTGCTTGGTAATCCTCAACGCGGTCCATGGGGAGGGCACTCCATGATGTCAGGTAAGCTCGGTGTCCTGTGGGTAGTGGATTGGCGGTCGGGATCTCGCCATTCAAGAGGCCGGTGAGGCGGTTCTCTACGCGGTTACGTCCCTGATTAGATGTTCTGGTATTGACGCGGGGGGGGGGATGCCATTGGCTGTTTTGTCACCGACGGAATAGTCAACCCCCCAGAAGCTATTAAGCGGTCTTTGGATAGACTGCCATAGTGGAGTTGGTACTCAGGTAAAACAATAGTGCATATGATGAACAGTGGTGTAGGCGTGTTCTTGGCAAACACGTAGCTGAACACTACCCGGTTCCGTTGATGAAAGTTGAGCATAGGATGACGAAGTCTTCAATTTGTGAACACCTTCTGGAGTCAGGTTATTCAGACCCCCACACGTGATTTATCCTTTAAAGTCATCTACAAGGCCAAATCTAACCACTCCATTTATGCAAGACCGAAGCTCTAGGTGTACATGGACAGAAGCTTAAGTTATGTTAAACCCCTTTCTTCACCTTGGTCTTAGTAATGTTCTTTTATTTTATTCTATTTTACCACTTGAATCCATCCCGCTTCACTTCATCTTCAACGTCTTTATTGATATCATCATCGTACTCTTAGTTTTTTGGACAACACGACCTACTTTTAAAATCTCAGTACTAATTCGCTTAATTATTAATCTTTAAAAGTTTTGTAATTCATCCACTTCGACTCTACGCCTCCCCTTAGTACATCATTTTAATTATCTTTATTCTTATCATATGTGCAGTATTGACTGAGCGATTTCTTTTTTTTCCTTCACGTTCCCCAGTAGAACATAGGGCTTCAAGCTTGTGGCTTGAAGTTTCTGTAGCAGTGTTTATTTTACAGGATGGGGTTGCTAGCCTCATGCCCAACCTTTCCTCTTCACCAGCATTATTTCTGGCTCAGCGAGGTAAAGGAGTGCGTCTGTGGCCGGGGATCGAACCCCGGACCATGTGCATGGTTGGCGAGCGTCTTAACCGCTATGCCCCTGACGCACAAAATCCGTGCCCTGAGAGAGGCTCGAACTCTCGACCTCCGCATTATAAGTACAGAGCGATTTCTAGTGCCGTTTAAGGCCTTCGTAGTCCATAAT